AAAATGGCCGCGGATCCAGTTCGTAACTCGAGGCGGAGTTCGCAAGTAGAGGTAAATATTTGGGGCCGGAGCTGGTCGTATCTTGAAAAATTCGTAAGGAGGGGTGTTCGTAACTAGAGGTACCACTGTATAGACAAGAAAGAAGACAAAATATATAGACAAAAAAGAATGCTCTTAGCTCATGCAACTGCAACCAAAACAGTGATTTCTGCTGCAACATTAAGAGCAAGGAGGTTCATATGTTGTATGTACAGCCTGTCTTACTTTTTAACAATGACAAAAGTGCAGTATTTTTTTTCTATCTCTCAAACCTACATTTGGCTTGAGTCTTCATCTAGGCCTTCAGCAATAGTGTTGGGACTCCCTGGCATCTCTCTTTCCTCCATGTTTATTATTCCAGCTGCTTATTATCTCATTGGCTAGGACCTTCCCAAACTTTCTTATACATTACTATGTGCAGAGGAATGAATATTGTTTGCTTTCTGAGGAGGCATGTACATCAGTGCAGAACTACTAGCATGGAAAAAGATTACAAGGAACAAGCATAGGTGCACCGTGAAAACATGCCTCATACACTTAAATTTCCAGATTCAAGACCTAAAATAATTTCAAATGTTTCTTGGCAAGGTAGCATACTCATATGGAGGTGTGAAGCAGTGTGTCCATATATGTATGTATGCATGTGCATTTGAAATGTGCGGTTCATATGTCATTCCATAATACAAAAGATTGCCAAAGCATTGAACAGTGTATTAAAGTACAATAAAAATAAGGTCAATCCCACAAAGCAAGGCAGGAAAATAATATCAGGGAACAAAATAAAAATCTCTTCACACAAAACTGGAAAACATTGCATCCACTTCAAGGGATAATGTACCTTTTTCTAAAGCACTTAGACAAATTATATTACATGATCTATAAACCATTATGGTAACGCTAGAGCACAAAATGATGGTTTGAATTACAGAGAAAGATTTCTATAGAATGAGTCGCTTTTCTTGTATAAATGCTATGAGTAGTATGCTTCTTTTGGGATAATGCTTTGGTGTGATACTTACTTGCAAATCAGTGTGTAGCCCTGAACTACTGGTGAGACTGACCAGTTTTCCTATGGCTGCATTTTATCCCCATATCTTTAACCATCTGTCTTGGGTTCTATTCATTCCAAGACTTTTCTCAAACTTTTAAAAATAAACTTTTTATATGCTTTTTCCTTCAAGCTGCCATTCCAACCCCTACTTCCATCTTTTTTATGCAATTAGCCAAATGAATCAGTGGTTCTTTTTTTCAAAATCATTTGTTGACTTTGGTTTCACTCATTCCTTTCAACTGAAATTGAGCAATATTTTTCATGTGACATTGATTCAAAAAGCTGCTTTTAAGACATCATTTTTTGTCTGGGGTACTATCACTGCTATATAAAGTTCTTCTGAGATTACCTGATCTGAGGCTCTGGAAATAACTCACTCAACTCCAGGTTTCAGTCTGTTTAAATTCATTTCTAGTGCCACAGCATCATTTGGGGAAGAGAGCATTCCCTTTGTATCGTTCAAAACAAAACAAAGCATTATTTTATTTCCTCTATTTTTTAATTAAGTAAATGATCAGACCCCAGTTGCTCTGGTGCAGACATTGTCCCATTTTATCTTTCTCCTCCCTAACAGACAACTTCAAGCATTTCTTTACAGGACTGTTGTATAGACAAGCCAAAACCTGAGACTCTGGAGCTTGTCTGCAATACATGACAGTGCAGGTTCTGCTCCATGTCTCTAGAGCAATGTTTCTCAACCTCAGCAACTTTATGATCTCTGGGCTGCAGGAAATCCCCAGCTGGGAGTTAGTCTACACATCCTAAAGTTGCTGAGGTTGAACAGGGTATAATATATTTTGTCACTCTTTGCAAAGCCTAGAGAAAGAGGAGGGGAAGATCTGACTTTGAAAACTCTCTAGACAAGGCTATGGAAATCTCTACAGCTCTTGCCTTAGCAGGATCTGAGTTCAAGGATTGGTAGAGCCAAAGAGTAGGAGGTTCCTCCAGTGTATTGGGTAGAAAGCTGGGATGAATAGCAGTTAGCACTCCCCTTTCTCTTTCCATGTTTCCCAATTACTAGGAAAAATTTGTTGCCTTTCATTCCTGTAAATTAATTCATTCTTACAGCAATCTAGAACTTGGAATACTGAAAGAAAATATCTCAGAATAAGGGAAAAATAGCAAAACACTACAATACTACTCTTCCCAAAATAATCTAGAAAACATTTGGATATGGTAAATTTGTCCATTTTCAATTTTCCCAACCCTCTAGTAACATAGCTGTACTGGGGCAGTTCAGGAATTTTGCAGTCAGGGATAGCTAAATAGTTGCTTTAAAAAAAGGAGATGTGGAAAAACAGACTAAAAAATGACAGTGGTGCTCTAATAATCTATACTGGACAACCTGTCACTTTGGACAGGTATATGCGTGTATTAGTGAGGTCCAATAGAAAAGCAATGACTGTTGTCACAATTCTGAACTGTATTTGATACTGTTTATTTAGTTAACCTCATTTTCTAGGTTCATACAGCACTGAGTCACAAACAATCTGTAGATGCTGAGTTCACACACCAGGCTAAGCTAAAATGAGGTTGACTAGTTTATGATTAGAGTCACCCATTGGGGGAGATGGGTGGCATACAAGTTTAATAATAAATAAATAAATGATTCCATTTGTTGTGTGACCCCAGCCTAAATGAAATGATGAGAGAATTCAGAATGGCCATTCTGAATATACTAGAATCCTGTTGAAAAAAGCTGGAGAGGTAACCTTTGCCAAGTCCAATCCATCTTGCTAAAGCAGGTCTCTAAAGGAAATTATTGGAAGCAACAGAAGACTACAAGGGAGAGAAAAACCATGTCATCTTTTTTCCAGCCAGGGTGAAAATCTGCTAACCACTTCTCTTGACAGAACCCTATCTATTTTAATATATGCGTCTATTTTCATAATAAAATGTATTTCTGTAATACCTAAAATGTATGTATTTGTGATGTTACCTCATCTTAGAAAACCAATGTTATTAAAAAATGGTGGTTCTGTTAAAAACTCTACAGAGGTAACTGGGCCAGAATTCCAAATAGTTCTCAATCATCTCTTTTCTCATGAATGCATGCACAACCATTTAAGTTATTGCCTTCATAGATGAACAAACTTGCAGATCTGCCTCCATGAGCCAAGAATCAGCCGTTTATTTTCTAAGAAAAAAATGCTGTGCCTTTAAGAGAGTTTTAAAATGTGGGTGCTGCTGCTGCTGCTAGCAAAGCCACCCTTTACTGCACCTCCCTTAATTCCCAGCTGTATAAAATTGTGGTCTGGGAGCATTGAATGAATTTATCCATGTTCTGTTTCTCAAACAACTTGCTTACTTTAAGGGAGAGAGGTTGGTGTGAGATCACAGGGATGCTGCTGACATGGTTGATTTCAGTCTGGATGGTGTGGGGAGCATTTGGGAGTAATGTCCATCTTCACAAAAGCAATAACCAGGATGGCAGATGCATTTATTCCTTCACAGTCCCCAGTGAAAATGAAGACAGCTGTATTGGCTCAAGTGAAGTATTGATAGCCATCCAAGATCTCCAGCGGGAAAACAAAGCTCAGCACCTGGAACTAGAGTCAACTAGAGCACGGCTCAGCCTTCTGGAGAACCAGGTGAATCAGCTATATGGAAGCCAAGTTAGGAGAACTTCTCTATCTACAGTTGGCTTGCTTCAAAGGGAGGTAGAGAGTCTGAAGAGGGAGCAAGCCCAGAGGGACATCCAACTCAGCAGGCTGGAATCTACCATAAACAATCTCCTTCAAGACAAGTCAGCTTTGGAAGAAGACAAGAAGCAGCTGGAAGAACAAAAGAATGAGCTAGAAACAAGGCTAGAGAAAAGCATTCAGGAGGTGGCTCATCTGAGAGCAAGCCGTTGTCCTCAGACTAGAGAAGCCAGCAGTGATTTCCTTCAAGGTCCTCGGGAAGGTAAATCTGGAGGCTCTCCCGCTAGGAGATGTGTTCTTAAAAATGTATAGGTGCCTAAAGTTATAAGCTATTTATTTTTAATTAATCATTTTTTAAAAAAGAGCAAACAAGTGAAAAGAAAAAATATTTTGAAAAGAATTTGCAGAATGTTATGAAAAATTAACCATAAACAATACATTAAATTATTTTTAACAATAAGGAAAAGGATTTTAGAGGTCTTTTTGAATTTCTGAGCTGAGTGCCAGGGTCTCCACTATTCTTTATTTAAAGAGAAAAAAGGAGAAAAAAGAGGAAAAAAACCCTACTAAAACATTATAAGTAAATATTTGGTCTCTAACCTCCCTTTTGTTATACTCTGACTGATATACAATAAGGTTATAAATTGTAAGAATTCTCTGCTAGTCCCCTTCTTAATCTACATGCCCAGCCTCATAATCTGATTTTGACCTACCTGGAATTATGGAAAAAGTTCAGAGGGCGAGGGTA